GCTTTTCAACAACCCAAAGCCTATTTTGAGTATCCAGAATACAGACTGCGTACAATAGCACTGTGTCACGTTTCTGTCTGTGTGGTTTACCTGAGAGAGACCATGTTGCCCAGTTCGGCGGGCAGACTTCGGAGCTTATTGGACGACAGGTTCAGGTAGACCAGGTTGGGCAGCTTGGCGATGTCCGGCGGGATGCGGGTCAGGTTGTTGTCGTTGATGTGCAGCGCCGTCAGGTGGGTTAGAGTCCACAACGAGCTGCTCAGACTCCTCACCCGCCCTGACGAAAGAAATAACCAACAAATATATTTGGGTTATTATTTTATGCCACATCAAGAAATAAATTCAGATTCTATTTTAAAACCAGAATCTAATTCTTTCCAGGTCAGAAAACCACAAGAACAGTATTTAGACCCTCATGTGAACAAAAAACCAACAACTGAATCCAGACTGAGACGCTGGTGGAGAAAATCCACACAAAAACCAGACAGAACAAAAACATAATTCATTGTTAAACTGTGTTTCCACCACTTGAGTCGGAAAGAAATCTTGAACCATTTAGAGGGAAACGGCTCATATTCAATAAATCAAAGTTCAAATGAACTAAAACCGAAACCTGATGAACATCTGGTTCATTATTAACTTTTAAATGAAAGTCTATTGACCCTGAATACTTTCTCAAGTTTCATAACCACTCAGCTGGAACCTAAAAAGTTCACATCTGAAGCAGAAACTTGGTAGAACTTTATTTTTAGACTTTATGTGCTGAATATTTTATCTATTATTCAGGTAATAATTTGATTTATTTTGATTGTTTTCTATCACGTACAACAATGAAAAGTGTAAAATCTCAACAGATAAATTATTGCTTAAAAAAACGACACAGCTTTTGATTAGAAAGATATGAAATTCTAGTTTTTGGTTTCTGTGTGCTTGTTTGGGTTCAATAAGTGTTTTTAGCAGCTCTTTGGACGCAGCAGACTAATCTGGCTCCACAAAACAATGTTATTTATATCTACCTTTTTCTTAAAGTTGTGATACTGGAAAGAAAAAATGCAGCTAGTGATCTGTAATTCTGGGTTTCAGGGCCCTGCCGGTTTGTTTATCCACATATTTACACTGGAGCTCGAAGCCTGGATGTTTGTTTTATGCACCCCGAGGTGGAGCGAGTCGGTTCCACTGACCAGAAATCTCGAGCTCGGCCCAGTGAGACTTCTTCCCACTGGCCGCCTCCTCGGCCGACATGATGGTGTAACATCTGCGGGGATCTGGAGGATCATATTTTTCCTTTGGCATACCTGTTAATCTGAAAAAAACAGAACAACAACACGGAGAAGTTGAGAAAGAGAGTGAGAAAAAAAAGGTTGTATGTCTTTTTATACAGTGGATGTAAACTTCTGGTTTCAACTGTATGTATGTATTTATATTTTTCCACCGACGTCCCGACACTTTTGCAGTGTCTCCTTCACTGCTTTAACACTGCAAATTACCAAATAATTATCTTGAAAGGCTCCTCTCCTTAGTGTGACTTCTCTCAGTAGCAAAACAAATTCAGTTTGAGTCATTCGGTTCCATGAAATCAGCTTTTTAAAAAAATTTTCCCACCTGCTCAGGTCGCCTCAAATTAGATCCTAACAACCACATCACTGTCTTTTCAAGTGGCTGCTGAGTCGTGCAGCTTCAGACAGTTTACCGGCACCCTGCTGAGGTGATTTCCCACCCGGACCGTGATGCGAAGTCTCGACCAGAACCGAGACGAAACCACAGAGGAAGCACCTGGAGGACGGCCGGCCCAGAGGAACTCATGTGAGGGGTAAACTCAGGTTTGGAGATAGTTTCACTGACGAGAGCAGCGAATTAAACGTTTGATCTTCAGGATTGATCGTCTTCACTCGCTCTGTTTGACCAAACGGGCGGATTATTCCGAGCAGGCCTCTAATCCAGCAGCAGCTTAACTACCAATCAGCCCCAATTAACACGTTACAGCATCTCAAACTGACTCACACGCAGAAAAACAGATTTTATCTTCAGTCGCTGCTTTCTGAAAGAATCTCCTGCACAAAAACTGCAGAGGAAATAAAAATAAATGCTAGTGAAGAGATAAGAAACTTCAATATTTTCTTTATTAGGATTTTTTTGTGGAGTTACATCACGATGGTGCCATCAGATTATGTTAAGTTACCTTTATTTCATTTTTTTGCCTATAATTATCAATTATATTACTTTTAAATCAAAAAATCCTCAATATACCCACATAAAGTCAGAAAACACGTACAAAAACTGGATAACATGCCCTTAAAAGGTCTTTAAAAGTCTCGTTTTGTTTAACCAGCAGCTTAAACCATAAATATATTCAGTTTAATATCATGCAAAATAAAGAAAAGCATAAAATCTTAACGTCTTGAGGAGCTGAAACCTTTTTTCATTTTTCATGTTTTTGCTCGAAAAATGGCACGATTATTGATTAGCAAGCTGGAAAATGTGTTTATGGGCTCAAAAGGAGGACATAGTTTACCGAATTAATCGTGTGTTTGATTATTTTAGTACATTTGTCATAGATGTCGACCTCTTATCGAAAATGAACAATTAATGCACCTTTTATTTTCTCCAAATATCTATATAATGTCTGAAAACAGAGAAAAATGCTCAAGAACACATAATTAAAAGTCTCATTTTGTTTGACCAGCAGCCTATACCGTAAAAATATTCAGTTTATTATCAAGAAAAGTTTAAAATTGTCACTTCTGAGGAGCTGAAACAAGCAAATATTCTGTGCTTATGCTTTAAAAGTGGCACAATTATTGATTAGCGAGCTAGAAAATTATAGTTTTTTGTTTGCTGGCCTCAAAAAGTGGACATACATTTGATCATTTTACTCATAAATTTGCCAGATGTATTGATTATTTTTCATCTGTAACCGCCTAAACCACTCAAATATTGAGTTTAATATCACATATGGCAAACAGAAGTCAAGAATTTTAACATCTGAGGAGCTGAAACGAGCAAATATTCTGTGTTTATGCTAGAAAAATTGCATAATTATTGATTAGCAAGCTAGAAAACGCTCATTTTTTATTTGCTGGCCTTAAAAAGCGGACATCTATTTGATTATTTTACCTGTGAATTTGAAGAAATTTGCCAGATATATGGATTTTTTTTCATCTTTAACTGCCCAGACCACTAAAATATTCAGTTTAATATCACGTATGGCAAAGAGAACTCTACGATTTTAACATCTGAGGAGCTGAAACGAGCAAATATTTAGTGCTTTGCTTGAAAAATGACATGATTATTAATCTGCAAGGAATACAATTCTAGTTTTTTTTTTTTTTTTACCTGCTAGTTTACAAGAGTTGTGGTGCCAAAGCAGGACACAGTCCTCTTGATTCTGAAATAATTTTGCCGTCACCACCAGAACCTGATTCCTTTAGGTTTCAGCTTCGACTCAACAGAAGCATATTTTTACGCTACTTGTCGGACATTTCCGACATCACAACACAACAAACTTGGCTTCGTATCATATTTATAGACGAAACCTCCTCCAGCATCACTGACTCTTCACTAAACAGCTGCAGCTTCAGGATCAGCAGTAATTAAGTTAAATCCTCTGACATGCCATCGTGATCCCAAACAGCCCCAAAACGTTTCCTGCACACATTCACAGCTTCTGCAGTGAGACCAGTCGAGCTCAGCTTGAATCCAGCAGCACCGGAGCTATCAGAGGTGCATTTCTGTCCAAATGTGTACTTTTTCCTCACATGTCAAGTGTATTGTTGTCCTGCTTTAATGCTGTAATATTTGCTGCACAAACTGAAGCAGACTGACCAATGCTGTAACAGACAGTCGAATCAATAACGAATAAACAGTTATCACGCTGAGTTTATGAGTTATGTACATAATTTAGTTGGATCAGTGCAAAGATACGTCTATTTTTCGCCGTGGCAGGGACGTCACAGTTTCCTGAATTAAATGCAAATAATTACTAAAAACTGCAACGAGGAAGTTTTGTGCTGTTTGTACATTTGCCGATGATGTACTATTGTTCTCTGGGACTTCACAGAGCTTCTGTTGTCTTCAGATTAATTTAAAAGGTAGAGAAAGCAGTTGACGACATTAGAATTTTAGAGAACGAGTATCTGAGTCTGAATTTTAAAATAGCGGAGGCAAACGGAGAGAGGTTTTAATTCCAAAAACGACATTCAGAAAAATTAAACTCCAACATGACTTTCCAGGAACAGCGGCTCTGTTCCTGGAAAGTCAAGTTCCAGGACTCTCCAGGAACTCTGTTACTTAAGTTGCACACCTGAACTTGACCAATTGTGATAAAATCTGAGCTTGAATCTCATTAATCAGTTTGAATTTCTCACCTTAAAAAGGTGAATAAAAGTTTGAATTTGAATCTTTAACTTATTGGACTGAAACAAATTCCAGTAAATTTGACACTGACGCTAATATTTTGAGACTGAACTCAGTTAGTCCACACTGAAAATTCAACCTCTAAACTCAGTTTTAACAATTCAAATTCAGTCCTGAAGCTCAAATTTAGGTTCTGTCAGTGAGGAAGAGAGACTTTCAAAGCGAATTAAATCAGTTTCAATCTATTAGTCTGAAATCTAAACAGCTGCATGTTTCCTTCACTATCAAAATATCACATTCGGCTTCGAGTTTACTGGAACTGGGCTTCAATCTAATAAATTCAAATCAGGATTTTTATTCAATTACAGTAATTTTCCAGGAAAACAACGGCTCTGTTTCCCAAAAGAGATGCTGCAGTTTAGTTTCCTTAAAAGTCACTTCTGCCAGGAGACAGTCTATAGTCCACAATATGTACAGATTTCACTGGAGCTACTTCCTACTGAAACTTGTTGTTTGTATTCTGGTGTTTGACGTTTTGACCATATACGACATCAGAATACAACAATTATGTTATATTTAAGTCCTGATATGACACAAGACACAACCTCAGAGTTTGAACTTTAAAGTTAAAGTACAGTGAAGACTTGTTCTGAACTGAATAAACCGACTACTAGCTGCTCCTCAGACACCTTGGACACATTTATAGGAACTTGCAGAGGCTCAGGGTGCTTCGACAAAATTATCTTTGAATTTTAGAGAGTAAGAATCTGAACGTTATCTGGCTGTTCGGACGGTTTCATTCCAGACATCTGGATCTGAATTCTCACCAGCACAGCGCAGACAGAGCAGAGTTAGGTTTTAGTTTGAAAAATGACATTTAGAAAATTCAAATTAGGGTTTTTATTCAACTATGATAACTTTCTGTGATAATAATAATAACAGCAGCTCTGTTTCTGAAAAGAGATGTTGCAGCAAATGTCATTTCTGCGACATTCTCACACTCTTTCCTTTATATTACATTTAGGCTCTGATATGAGGCGCGATACCCCCTGAAAGTCTGATTAACTATGCTTAAAAGTTAAATTATAGTGACAGCTTGTTCTGAACTGAATGCTTCTGAAGAATAAATCCACTTTTACAGGAATTCCTCGCGGCGTGAATGTCACACCTGCCCCATTAGTAGCCGTGCAGAAGTTGCAGGTGGCCTTTCCAGGAGCCGCCCGGCTTGTTGCAGGAGCTCGCAGGTAAATTTAACTCCCCCGCTGTCAGCTAAAAAACACAAAACATGCAAACCTATAACACTGGATGAGCTCCACAGCACCATGCATGGGAATGAAACGAGTGCAGAGGAGCTGGGTGGCGTCACAGAAGACTCAACATGTGAGTCTGAATTTTCACCCATACAGAGGAGAGCAACCGATTAAACTGAGAAACTGCTGTTGTTACTCGGAACAAGTACAGGCATAAATACAGGCTACTATAAACTGAATTTTAATCATTTAAACTTGAATAACTGCAATAAAAACTGAACTTGAATCTCTTAATTTCAATCTGAAGTAGAATAACTGAATAAAAATCTTGATTTGAATCACATAGTTGGATTTTATTAGATATAAAACTGAATTCCTGAGACTGCTTTGAAATTGGAGTTGCTGTGAAAATATATTTGATCCACACTGATGATTCAACTCTTTGCATTTGGTTCTTGACATTCAGATTCAGTCACACGGCCTCTATGTCATATTAGGAGGTGTTGAGAACTGACATTTAAAAAAAATTCAACTGCAACCTCTTGTTCTAGAAACAGAGCCGTTGTTCATATGGACAACTGTTGAATCTCATCATGTCAAATTTTAATTTCTCTACTTGATTAATTCTGCAAAAGAAATCCTGATTTGAATCACGTAATTTGATTTTATTAGATTGAATATGAATTGGTTGCTGTGAAAACATAGTTGGGAATATAAGGAGAGCAAAAGGAGCTAAGTGGTGTGAAAGAGGTTCAGGTTGGCATCAGGGGAATACGTTTGGAGAAGACCTTTATGTGAATCTGAATTTTCACCAATATAGTGGAGGATAACACCGTCAGGCTTCAGAAATGACATTTAGAAAATTCCACATCTTGTTCCAGAAACAGAGCCGTTGTTACTCTGGAAAGTTACTGAAAGTAAAGTTATTAACACATGCCGCTACAAACTGAATTTGAATCATTTATTTTGAATTTTAATTGCTAAACTTAAACTGCAATAAACAAAATGAATTTGAATCTCAAAATTCCAATTTTAACTCGAAAAACTAAATAAAAATCGTAATTTGAATCACATAATTTGATTTTATTGGACTGAAACTGAATTCTAGTAACTGTTTTTTGAAACTGAATTCAGCTGCTGTGAAAGTATAGTTGCTCTGCATTTGGTTCTTCACATTCAGATCCAGATTGTCTGTGAGGAAGATGAGGCCCGGAGAATCAAATTCAAGTTCAGAGCAGAGGAATTCAATTCCAAAAATTCCACAGCAACACAAACAGCGCTGTTCTTAGTCTGGAAAATGATCGGCATAAATAAATGCCACGACAAACTGACCTGTCAGTGAAGATTCTCAGTCATCCAGGTCACAGTTATTCTCATAGTTAATCCAACTGGACTTGCTTGAGTTCCTTGAAGACGTTTTATCTCCCATCCAACAGGGTTCATCAGTGAAAACTCGAGTGTTAATGGCTCCTAAAGGATATCAGTATCTGGATCTCCCAACCAGTCAGGCAGAACTGATGAAGCCTCTTGGATGAGAGGTCTGCAAGAAAGTCAAGCAAGTCCAGTTGCTACGATTAAACTACCAGAACACTACGAAGTGAATTTGAATAATTTATATTTGAATTCGAGTTGCTAAACTTAAAAGTTCAGAGCAGCGGAATTCAGTTTCAAAATATTACTTTCAGTTTCAAGTTTACTGTAATCTGGGTTTAGTTTAAAGCTTGCTGGTTATGTAAATTAGCCTACTGTCTGCAAAAAGCCCTGCTTATAACAAACTTATAAGAGTGAGCGAGCTCCACAGCACCATGCATGGGAACACAAGGAGGAGCTGACATTAGGCTCCAGCCGCCAGGAGGTTCAGGGTGGCAGCGGGGGAATAAGTTTGGAGAAGACTTACATAACCTGTTTACACACTACTGGGTCACAAGTAAGCGGCAGCAGCGGCTGCAGGCAGATATATGGCCTCCTGGCACCGGTTCATATCACAAGCATATGGAGATAGGCGAGAAAGTGCACCTGCAGCATTTAAACAGCCAATCTGAATGTTATGGCAAACCCTTGAATCTGTTGCTTCACACACACTGTTTGCATGTCTGCAAGGTGGGGGGGGGGAGTTAAAAAAAAAAAATGATGGCAACTGCCCCAACAGCTGAGTATCCAAACATAGCTGTAATGTCAAAAGTGTCAGGCGCGCAACGTCCACGGAGGCCGGGCCCGTCCGGTGGGGAGCCGCTCGGCAGCTGTCACACCTGACAGCGAGGTAAACACGCCTCCCGGGCACACGTTTGTGGAGGTATTCCGACGCTAATTTTAGTTTTAAATAAAATAAAATAAATATAATAATCCCGAGGCGGACTCGACTTTCCGTCCGGAGCTCCCTCGAAGCAGGGCGCTGGATTTGTCTGGCTAGCGGCTGCAGGGCGCACGCCGCCCGGGCTCACCGAGGCGGACTGCGGGGGAGACGGCTTGGCACGAACGGAGGCGGATTTAAGTGTTAAAATTAACCCGGGACGGCTCGGTGGAAGCGGCAGCGGCTCAGAAAGCAAAGCGAGACGGGACATTACCTTCATTCGGGGGCGGTAGAAGACGGTTTATCGGGGGAACTGGCAGAGACATGCAGACGCGGCTGTTGAACCCGTTCAGACCCCGAACATCTCGGAAACACAAGGAAGAACAACAAACGCGACTTCCGCTCGTACCCGTCCGCCCGACACGCAGCCCCGTGTTCCCAAGCTCACGCACAAGTGCTGGTACACTTATTAATTATTTTTAAAAATTATTTAAAACATGAATACTAAGATAAATAGTATTAATATGCAGCAAATTGAAAATGCAAATAAAGATTTTGTGCGCGTTTCTGCCTTAAGCAAAAAAAAAAAAAAGCAAAACTTTACCCTTTAAACAGACGGATGCATGTTTTGCAGATAATAACTTCATGTTTTTAGAAAATCTTCAAGAAACTGCAAAATTCGGCATACATTTATCCGCCTTACGTTCTTTCTTAAGCAATGAATTATTAGTTTTCCCAGTTTCCCCACTACTTAAATGTTCCTTTAAGTCAATCTTTTGAAATAATAAGTAAAGATTACCATAACAAATGTGAGCCGAATATGACAGTTCCGTCTATAGATTTATTTTTTGTTGTTTTTTTCCTCATCTTTAGTGTGTTTATTGAGAGGGAACTTAATTTAAGCTGGTCTATTTTTGAACTGAGGTTTGCTTAAATCTCAAGCGGAACCATTTAACGTATGTCGTTGTTTTCACCCGGACAAACATTATTCCCAGTTATGGCAACCTGCACGCGGACTGTGTGGAAAGGTCAGTCGTTTAAGTGTAATTTAATTTTTTCTGTAACTGACCCTAAAATAACGACATGTATTTGTTTGTTTTTTCGGGTTTCGTGTTTTGTTTCTCGGTTCCGTTAAAAGACAAAAATTACCGCCGTAGCCTTTTAGCTAGTTTGTTGCTGCTGCGCTAGCTGACGCTGCTCGCCAAACCCTGAGCGAAAAATGTTGCATTGTAGCGTCCTCTTGCTTTTTCTCACCTAGTCTCTCATGAATCAACAGTATTTAGGATTTCATATGAATTATTGAGTCTCTTTGTTTGAATCGGCTTTACTTTTAGTAGCCAGATGCGTCTTATATTTAAGAAATTACCCTTTTAATGAATGACATCTGTCGTGGTGGGCGGTAACGAGCAGGGCATAAGCTGTCTTTTGGTCCTATTTGAAAGTTATTCGGTTAATTAAATATATGCCGAATTTTGGAGTTGCCATTAGTTGCTAAATAAATGCCCTTAAAATCAACACAGTGCCGTTGCTATTAGTAGGATGAGGTAGGACGGATTAAATCATTAGATTTTTAAATGTAAATTCGGCCAGTTTTGTGCAGCTGTGTATTTTTAGTTTAGTCACCCAGTCTTATTCTATCTCCTTCTGTATTTACTGATTTATATGTGATTTTCATCAATTATTTTGTGTCCTGCCCTGTCAGCCAGTAGATCTGTGACAAACTGCTTCATCAGTCTGTTAAAAAGATAAAATTCTGTCATTCAAGTGTATGTTTTTATAATAATGTTCCTCACAGGTTCACTGACACATACAAACAGTGACTGATAGATGATATGCATGTAACATTTGTCATGCAGATAGGACAGTACATCAGCAGCTGTATAATGCATAATAATGCAATAATAAACAAAACACTAAATCTAATTACAAGCTAATAATGCTGTCTAAATACCCAATTGCCCATTTTATTTATGGTGCGGTAAACTCTGAAAATTCTGTCCATGTGTGCAGATAATCGGAATACTACTTTACTGACAGTAAAACAGAAATATCCGGACAGCTGTGATGGATCTCAACATGAGAACACATGATTTACCTTAAACTCAGCTGTTTGAGGTGAAGAAACGCTCACAGTGTGGCTTGCTGTCAGATTGTAATCGATCCTGTCTCCATGTCGGAAATAGTTTATAATTATACGTTATTAATGGAATTATAGCTGTTGATTATTCAGCGTACATGCACTCATATTGATATTGATCCTACAAACAGCTGGAAGTAACAAATTAAACTTCAGCTGCTGTGAGTCTCACTCGTCTGACCTGTTACATCATCAAACTAAAGCTTTATTTTTATGGACATTTCAGTTCGTAATAGACATGAAATAACACAGCAAAGTGACCGAGGAAGGTGCTTTGGTGTATTTTGCTCTTTGTGATGGTTTAGGACTCATATTGGTGCGAAAACATTGAGAAATTGTTCCTCAAATCTGTGACTAAATGCAGTTCAGACTGTGTTGAAAGTGACACAGAAATGTTATTGGATCAAAGCCAGCTGTTCAGATACAGTCCGATTATAGGGAAGGAGTGTAAATCTGAAAGATCCATCGTTTCCCAGCACAGGCTCCTGCAGACAAGATTTGTATATGATAATAACAGAAAGGTTCAGGTTCTTGTGTAGCGTGCGATGGGTGATTTAAAAACTGCTGTTGGTGCTTTAAACTTCATAGTTCATGCCCGTGCACATGTCTTTTATGACTAATTTTAAATTTGCAAACACCTTGACTTGCACTGAGCTCACTGACACCTTGATAACACACGACTGGCACTGACAGATGTTCTAACGCAGCAAATTATTTGTGTTTTATGCAAATGACACAAACACTGGATGTGCTCTGCTTCAGTTATGTGGCGCGTCCTGCTGTCTTTGCTTAGGAGACAAACTTGTGCCAAATGATGCTCGTCATGAGTTCTCGTGTTTGAATTAAACAGATGCTTCTTGGTGCAGTTCGATGATGCAAAGTCGGCCAAGTGTGTTTTACAACATCGCCGGTCGACGTTGTGTTTAGGAGGAATCTGTCAGAGCAGCATCTGTCATCAATTGCGTTCGTTTCTTCAGTTTTAGCAGGATGTCAGAGGCAGCTGCTGAGCACCGGCGTTCCTGCAGGTGTATCGCCGTCTGCATCGAGGACGCTTCCTGTCAGGACTTTTGCGGCTCTCAGGTGAGTTTTTGCGAACCTTTAGTTTGTTAAAACCAGCTTTAGAAGTCACGGTTTTGTGATATTTAGGGTGGTTTTTAGTGTTGTCCTCCTGGTAATTTTGCACATTCTTCTATCAATTGTCAGGTGGCAAAGGAAAGAAAAGAACGCTGAAGAAGAGAAGGAAGTAAAGAAGGAAAAGAAGGTCATCGATGACAAAGACAGACACAAGCCTTATGGGAAGACGGCGTGGGTGCCTGTGGACGACGTCTATGTCATAAGATACTATGCCTTGCCCGTCCACGCCGCGACAAACGCCATCGAAATGCTGAAGAACTTTCAGGCGCTGGACTTCACGCCCCCCAATCAGCCCGTTTACATCGACCTGAAGCTCAAAATGCAGCTGGAGAAAAAGGTAACGGCAACGCTCGACTTGTTTTCTTTGCTTGTGGCTCATTCGCACGCCTGACCATCTTCAAGTCGATTCATTTTTAGGTGTTGAATATCAATTTACCAAAGTTACATTAATCTATCAGAGCAGGGTCGTACCATTGAAGACCACATCATTATCTCTCAAGTTATGGCTCTTCAAACGTTGCTCCTCAGGTTGTCGTGAAGAAAACAATGCAACAGTCGACACCCACCTTTTTTATTTTATTCATTGTATTTTTTATTCCTTACTAACATGCGTTTGTACAGAAAAAAATCAGACAAATATCAGAGCGTCAGGCTTGAACTTTTTTAATAATCTGATGAATTTCGGTGGAATGATCCAGATGCTGAGTGAACTGATCTGTTGATTGAGAGATCTGAAGTGTCGCTTGTACTTTTAGGAACAGTTTTACCTTTCATTATGTCGGAAATGGCAGAACACTGATTGGCTGTCTGCGTCCGGATTTCAAACCAGACCAACATGTTTCTCTTATATCGTTAAAAGAGTTCATCAGAACGTTACTGAAAACATTTGAGGTGAGAAATAAGCCGAGCAGCTGCAGCATCTGTCTTTAAAGCAGTTTATGTCGAGTTTATCGGGAGTTTTCAGAAGCAGTGAAGCAGCTTCATTTGATCTAAATAAGGTGTAGTCAGTAGCGTAGCAGTGTTTCCGTATATTTGTCAAGTGAGTTTGAAGTTAACTCCTGAAATGTCGCAAATTTTAAACATAAAGACGATGTGAATTAGTTTCCTTTAACAGCTTTGAGTGAATGAAATCGGCTCAGTTTGACCAGAAGGTGGCGCTGCAGGCTACACATAGCTGTAATTAACAGAATAAGTTGGAGACAAAACCAGCTGTTTTCCAGCTGATAAATAACCCTAAAGAGCAAAACTTTGGCCATCTGCGAGAGAAACGTGTTTTCAGGAATTGTTTTCTGTCGACAAAGTTCTAATCATTGTTTCTCGTCAGCTGTCTGGGGACGAAAACGAAATTGAGTCAGAGCTTATTAGTAAAAGTTTGTGTTTCTGTAAACCCTTTTCTGAAAAACTTATTAAAAATGATTTTGAGTCTCCTGGATCAGAGGTGAAGCATCTTCCAAAATCAGAGTCATCAGCTGTTTTCGTTCTGCTGAAGATCTTTTTCTAATACGATGCTTCAACGTGAAAATACATCAGTAGGACATAAATACTTTCAGATGCTTTTTTGCAAAAACGTTGGAGGCGAGAAATCGGCCACGCAGCTGCTACATGGACAGCAGTTAGGTTTAAAGTTTTCCAGGAGTTGCTCTTTTGAGAGGAGTCAAATCTAACTTAAACTAGAGCCGTTAAGTTTACTTGTTAGTCATTGGAGCTTCGGTTAAAAGCAGCTGAACTTCTCTTTTAGGTTCTTTTAAAAAAAAAGGAGACGTCTAGTTGGTTTTCACTGAAGCCTTTTATGTTGAGGCCCTCTGTGGGGGCATTACTGTAGCAAAACTATTGGTCCATGCGTATGGAGAGTTGTCTGTCTGTATCTCAATCCATTTGTCCGAAGTGAGATTTGTCATTGTGTAAAAGAAGTTGTCAATGCGAACTGGAATTTGTCTGTCTGTAATTAGGTCTTCAAATGTGTAAAAAATCTGCTCATCTGTATTAAAATGTGTACATGTAATAAGAGTTGTCAATACGTACAGAGGTATTCGGAGTTGAAAAATCTACGTATTCGAATACAAGTGCTGAAAATACAGACAAATCACCAGTTAGGAGTCGAGCAGCTTCACCGTTGGCTGTCTTTGTACACATGACCTTTGCTACACTTCAGCCGTGAGAGAATCTGAAACTGAAGAGTATCTGAAAATCAGGGTTTCTGTGTCCTGAGCTCAGGCTCACAGGATCGTCCGTTGTGGCTGCTGCCGCTCTGCTGCTCTGTACCTCAGTAGTTGTCAGGCAGCGCTGTGCATCACAGTCTCTGAGCGTTTTTACTACAATAATGCCTCGTTGCCTTTTATTCTATATGTCGTGGTCAGGGTGTTTCTTGTAAACAAGAGCTTGCTGTTTGTGTCTTTTTCTGTTTCGATAAATAAATAAACATAGTTATGAATTTTGTGAAATCTGAGAACAGCACATGTCGGTCACATCTGCACCTGATGTTTGAGTCCACATGAACCCTGCATTTGAACGACTCTCTGCCTTTTTGATTTCATGTCTTTGCACCTGTTATTTCCATGAAACATTAGTTTTTAGATTTCGTTGCTCATCCGTCCGTGTGCTCAGAATAGTCTCTAGCGTCCCGACGGGCGTTGATCAGCCGCCAAACGGACGCATTTTTAGCAGTCAGACTTGGCGTGCTTTCTTTATTTATTTGGCTCTTTCCATTTCTGGCTGTTTCCGTCTGAGAGATGCATCAATGTTTGCTACGCGAGCGGGTTTTTTTTTCTTTTTGGTTAATCAGCTAAAAACAGTGCGACGCAGTGGAATGAAAAACCTCATTAGTTCGTTTCCACATAAAAGACCGCGGAGCTGCCGTGACGTCCAGGCGGCCCGCCGGAGACCAACTCGGCTCCCTCGTATGCATAATGAATCCTGAACACTCCGGAGGAATGAAAATTTAAACAGATCTAATGCTTGATTATGGAGGCAGCTGTATGACTGACATCCTGGCTGTTTTGTTGGTGTTTTTTGCTGATCGTTTCCTCTGTTTCTGTTTCCTCCTGGCAGAAAAAAATCGACCCCTTCGTCAGCACCGTGCACCTTCCTCACCCCTTCAAGACGGAGCTCAACAAAGTTGTGGTTTTCACCGAGGTAAAAAAAAAACAACAACAAAGAAATGAAGTTGTATGTTTCCCTCCTCCTCCTTGGGCCTCGCTGAATCCTAATTTCATCTCCAGTTGTGTGTCTGCCGTTGATGAATTGTTTTAATTTTGTCCAAGCATGACTCAGATGTGCGGCGGCAGCACCTTTTATTTGTCACCCTGTTGTGTCGGTAACGAATGGCCTTCTGTGGCGGCGGGCTTTGATTAATATTCCTGTCGAGCGGCGCAGGTTGTGGGTTGTAACTTGGATGTTAACGAGCGTAATGAATGACACTGTCGGGGTCTGCCAGGCTGTGACATGCTCAGATCAGACTTTAAATGGGTGACGGTGCCGTGATTTATGTATTTATGTATGTTATTTAATTTAGTTAAATTAATTTAATTTATTTTTATTTATGCATGTATGTATGTTATTTTATTTATTTAAATAATTTGATGTAATTTAAGTAATTAAATTAAATAGATTTATTTATTTAATTTTCTTTTTTCTTTTGAAATTTAATTTTATTTATTTTTATTTATGCATTGTATTTATTATTTTTATTTGTTTTTATTTTATTCGTTTGTTTTATTTATTCTATTTAATTTTAAATTTATTCATTTACTTTTAAAATTTACTTTTATTTATTTTATATT